TCCCCACATCCCCACATCCCCACATCCCTGGTCCATGGAAAAACTGTCTTCCATAGAATTGGTCCCTGGTGCCAAAATAGTTGGGGAGCACTGCACTAGGCTGTCTGTCTATGAAATATTTTGGATTTGGGGAATCCCAAAACTATATTAATTATGAATTTTTGTTCCCAGTAATATATTAGAGTAGGTATTACATTGAAGGTACTGTGTTTATATGGGTGAGCCCAAATGTTGGGGTCCCTAGTCTGTAATGGCTTATGCCCTGGCTTTGGGGATCCCTGGGAGTTATATCAGTGTGCTGTGCACCTCTACTGTACCCCCTGCCATTTGTGGGCCAGTAGCTATATGGACTTAGGGGTTCAAAGGATTAAATCCGTGTGTGCCATATTTTGTGAGTTTCTAGTGTATATTGGGGAGTCCCCAGTGTAAGGTGGGCAGTTACTGGGGACTGTCACACTAAACTTGGAAATTCAGGAGTGCCTATGCTATGCGGGGGGACCCCAAAATTGAGGGTTCCTGATCCACACCGTGGTGGTGTTGAGGATGATCTCAGGGTCATCGCGGTTGTCTGCAGGCACCACATCGTGAGGGAGCCGAGGCAGCGTGGGGGTGGCCGGTGGTTGGGTCATCATGGCGACCTTCTTGGCCTTGAATAAGAAGCTGGTGGTGGGAGGAGAGGCGCCATAAGAACCAGCTTTCAAGCCCAGCCCTCCCACTGCAACATTCATGCCCCCCACATCCGGCTTGGATACACCCTGCTTCTAATACCCCAGGTATGGCCTCTAGAAGGCTGGCTTCCCACCTACCCCAGCCTAATCCGTTCTGGAAGTGTTGTGCTCTGCGCTTGTGGATGCTGAGTTACCCATATTAAAGGTGCCTTCTGGGAATATGGAGGTCCCCACTGGGGCATATGGGGGTCCCCCTAAGTCAGCATTTCCCACATGCATTTCTCAGATGGGTGCTAAATGCACTTGGAAAAGGATAAGTCTTCATTGTGCGGCACTGTTTTGTACACTGCAAGGTAGGTGGAACCCCGGGGCCTCCGCCGAGCAGCAGCAGCCCCTCCCAAACTGTAATGACCACAAAGACTCCATCATTTCCAAATATCCACCAAGAGACACAATGGGTTTTCAATTCCATTGAAAACCACTGCTATTGTACGTATCACCTGAGGTCAGGAGTTCGAGACCAGCCTGGCCAACATGGTGAACCCGTCTCTACTAAAAATACAAAAATTAGGCAGATGTGGTGGTGCAGGCCTATAGTCCCAGATACTCAGGAAGCTGGGGCAGGAGAATTGCTTGAACCCAGGAGGCGGAGATTGCAGACAGCCGAGATTGTGCCACTGCACTCCAGCCTGGACAACAGAGCGAGACTCCGTCTCAAAAAAAAAAAAAAA